TCGCGCTGGAGCCACTAAGCAAAAGGAACGGCGGAAGAGCCAGGAATCGTGGGCAAAGCCCGGTAGCGCCGTCGCAGGCAAAACTCACAACCGCCTCCTATGAGCCCTTTCCCATTTTTCGTTTTCCGTTTCGTGCGATTTTTTTACTATTATGCTCATCGTTCTATTTTTTATAAGTTGACCGAAGAAAAACGCCCAACTGCGAAGGTAAGCCAGCGGAGCTGCTGCACTAAAAAACTCTGCCTCTAGTAGGTTTTTATTTTTTTGACTTTTGTTGGCTAACCGAGACCCTCTGACGTATTTTCTCACAGGGATGGGTATAAAACCGGCAGAAACTGGCCAAAACTAGTCGAAAATAGTAAAGCATAGGCAAATTGCCAATGCGGGCGGCGGTGCTGTCGTGTCAGAATTCCGAACTTGGCCGGAAAAGATTTTTAACACCGATTTTGAGTTTTTTGGAATATTTTTAGGTATGTAAAGCGTGTTTTAATCTTTGCAGGAAAATTCAAGAAATCCGAGGACCACTAGTAGGCGCAGTAGAAAGTTTGGTATTTCGGACACTGATTCGGAAAAAAATCCTTGACCTTATTCTTTGTTATGGAATTGAAGCTTAATAATCGATAATATGATATTTTGTGTAATTTAAAAAACTTTAGAATAATTACAGGTTACTAATGGAGCCAAAACTAGTTAGTTATTTATTTGTCATGTTTAACTAATTATTGAATTTACAACTATAAATACATGATAATATATTGAAATGGTTAATTGATTCAATTATGCTTTCTTGATATATATATTACCTGTTCTGCGTGATTTACAGTTGATTTGTAAAATTGAAGATTAATATGCAAACAGAAAATTGTTTGGTCATGTGAATTAATGAATAGTAGATTTACTAGATATCTTGGGAGATGGTGGATAGAATGGGTACATAAAGAATCCTACTGTGAATGTAATCTCATACCAGACGGAGTATCGGAGAATGATATTTTTAGCGCTCATACCAGACGAGGTATGGGGACGGTTCGATTCACCCTCATACCAGACAGGGTATTAAGGGATAGTATTTTTTGGTGCTCATAACAGACGGAATATGGGGATTAGTTGACAATGTTGAATATTGGTTCATGCGTAGTGGGATAACCTTATGGGCCCTTAGGGATACCAATAGGCAAATAAAAAATGAAAATTACTGTTATTGTTCACTTGAATATGATATTAGAATGTTATTTGAGTTATTGCATCTATAAGTCGATTTTAAAAATCCTGCAACGATAAATATATGCAATAAATAGTTTTCCTTATGATAAATGAATTTACTTAAATCAAGAGCTCAATTAGTTGTTTTTATGATTTTTACCAACCTTCAGTCTCTGTATCGATGAGTAGTGTGATATTCTTACTGGGCTAGTGTATGTCACTCTTTCATTAATTATTTAAGATTAAGAGGGCCAAGATCCAGATCCCGATCAACAAGAGGGTTGTGAATAGTTTACCACCCGGACTCCCTTCAAAAACTAGTGAAGGTCGTCCTAGATGCTCAGCATATTGCCTTTTATTTATTTCTTTGATTTTTGTTTGTTCTTTTAGAATGGTCATTCTCATAATTCTATTAGGCATTCTAAATTATTATGTAAGAAATGTAAATCCTAAACTTTATTATTTTGCTTCTGTACTTAATTGAAGACTTTATTTCTTTTTAAGTTCCGGACATTTACAGTTGGTATCAGAGCCGCATTCCTCGAAACCATTTCTTATACAAAAACTTAAAAATACTAAATATGAATTATCGTTCAACCCTTCCTTGTGAAAAATAAGTACAAAGACATGAGGAGATGAAGTCCCTTACCGAACAGAACAAGCTGAGACAGGTCCCTTTGAGAGGATGTCAATAAGCTCTTCGAAATTTTAGAGAAACTCATCTCTACCCAGTAGGCCAGGGAAGAGAGGAGGGAACTGTCTGACCCTCCACCACTTCTACAATATGTGCCACTCCTACAACGAGAGGATCTAACACTACTTTGATGCAACTCTGCTCCCCCGTCGTATCATTTGACACCATCATAATACAATTTGGAGCTCCCATCATATCATCCATCATTGTTACAGGGCTACCCAGTCCCTCTTCCACAAGACTCGGTTTCACCCATGATGGACCTGATAGAGATTGATACGGGGGACTTTGATATAATCTTATGAATGAATTGACCAGCGGCATATCACGCCACCGTGGATTGTTTTCACAAGAGAAATTATATTTAAACCTCCTAACAAATAGTCATTTACAAGCTAATAAAAATTTTGAATATTATTCCCTTGCAGCAATTTCCTTATTACATAGCATTTTAACTCAACTGTTTTCTTTAACTAGGCAAACCTAAGAAAAAAATTTGCATTTGACAGATTCTGATAGTCCAAGACTTCTCAAATATATTTTTTGATGAACTACTCTGACTACTAGTGGATAGAGAAGTTGAATTCACCATAGATCTTTAGTCAGGCACCCAGCCTATCTCAGTTTTTTCTTACCGCATGAGTCGTGTTGAGATGGAAGAGCTGAGAAAACAGATCAATAAATTATAAGACAGTAGGTTCATCCGACATAGAGTGTCCATTTAGGATGTTAGAATCACATTTGTAAGGAAGGGGGATGGGACGTTAAGGTTATGTATTGACTACATGAGACTGAATATGGTCATAATCAAGAACAAGTACCCCCTCCCCAGGATCGATGACCTTTTTGATTAGTTGCAGGGTGCCCAAGTCTTCTCCAAAATAGACCTGCGTTCAGGTTACCATCAGGTAAAGATTAAGACAGAAGACATTCCCAAAACAGTTTTTCGAACCAGGTACAGACACTATGAGTTCCTGGTCATGTTATTTGGACTAACCAACGCACCAGCTATCTCTATAGATTTGATGAACAGGATTTTCAGACAATTCCTAGATTAGTTCGTCATTGAATTTATCGATGATATCCTGATTTATTCAAAAAGTAGAGATGAACACGCTCACCATCTGACTCAGGTTTTGCAGGTTCTTAGAAAAAAGAAGTTGTATACAAAGTTGAGTAAGTGTGGGTTCTGGCTCAAGTAGACTACCTTCCTATAGCAAATCATATCAAGGAATGGAGTATCAGTGAACCCCGAAAAAGTTTAGATATGCTTGGCTGGGAGAAGTTGACCTCGGTCAAGGAGATTTATAGCTTTCTGGAGATGGCAGGTTATTACTGC